GGTTAGTCTTGAAAAAGAGAGAGGCTACCCCTTACTCAGACACAGGCATGTTGGAGAAGATTAAAGACTGAAAATTAAGAAAGAAGGCATTTGAGCATTTGGTACTAAAAGTGAACAACTAAATGTTGCTTGGTAGAACCAGGACTTGAAAATGGAAAAGGTTTCAAACTACTGTTGTGAGGAATGCTATAGAAATTCATCAAGAGGCAAAGACAGACATTGCATTTTTTTCATTGCAGGCCTTGTTGAGACTTGACAGCATCGGTTTATTATTTTTTTCTTTGAGACAGGATCTCTGTTATCTGGGCCTTGTTGAGACTTGACAGCATCAGTTTATTCTTATTTATTGGAGACAAGGTCTTACTCTGTCACTTGGACCTTGTTGAGACTTGGCAGCATCAGTTTATTTTTAGTTAATTAATTAATTATTGGAGATGGTCTCACTCTGTCACCCAGGCTGGAATGCACTGGTGCAATCATAGCTCACTGCAGCTCCAGGGATCCCCCTGCCTCAGCTTCCCAAAGTGCTGGGATTACTGGCATGTGCCACCATGCCTGGCTTGAAACATTTAAAATTACACATGTGATTCACATTATATTTTCATTGGAAATATATCTATAACTAGTAGCTTAGAAAGTAGGTAGAGAAAAGCTGCATTTAGGCAAAAAGTCTGTTAAATACAATGTTGTATAACAAAGAGAACTTGTCACTTAGAGGCATTTGACCCAGGTCAAGTCCTAGAAAACCCAAGTCTTCATGCTGTTTCCTTTGCCTGGAATAATCTTTCTAGCATTTGTTCACCCCCTGCTTCCACATACCTTTTGTGTATTGTAATTTTCTTTTTCTTTTTCTTTTTTGAGTTGGAGTTTCACTCTGTTTCCCAGACTGGAGTGCAGTGGCACACTCACGGCCACCCCAGCATTGACCTGCTGGGCTCCAGCAATCCTTCCACCTCAGCCTTCCTGGTAGCTGAAACTACAGACATGAGCTACCACAACCAGCTAATTTTTGATTTATTGTAGAGATGAGGTCTTGCCAAGTTGCCTGGCCTGGTCCCAAACTCACTGGCTCAGGCAGTCCACTTGCCTCGGCCTCGGCCTCCCAAAGTGCTGGGATTACAGGCTGGGCCTCCAAGCCTGGCTGTAATTTTCTCTGTTGGCATATTTCTCCTGAGATCCTAAAGGGTGGGTTTAGAATACATTCTTAGTGCCCTGCATGACTGGGTCCTCGGTAGGTCTTTACTTAATGAATGAGTATGTCAACTGAATGAATAAATGAGTCACCACTTTAACAATCTTGGGTATTTGTTTTTTTCTTCTGGGTAACTTTGATAGTAGATTTGGTATAGTATTAGAAGTATGGGGTTGATACAGGAAGCAGATTCGGTGCAATGCAGAAGCAACCTAAGCAGAAAGGTACAGTTTCCTAGGACTGTTTCATGTAGGCCTGATTGCTGTCTCAGTTTTCACTTTTGCTAAAGGTATGATAATAGTACAGTTTAATAAATGAACACTCTTACTTGTCCTAAAGATTATGTATGGTACAGTCTCTTAAAAAATAAAGTGGTAAAACATGTAGTAATTTTAGAAAGATTTTCATCAAAACTGGTTAAGATAAGATTCTTTTTAGAGATGTAGTCTTACTCTGTCACCTAGGCTGCAGTGCAGTAGCACAATCATAGCTCACTATAACCTTACACTCGTGGGCTCAAGCAGTCTTCCTGCTTTGGCCTCCAGAGTAGGACTATGGGCCCACGCTACCACACCCTGCTAATATTTTTATTTTTTGGTATAGACTGGGACTTGCTATGCTGACCAGCCTGGTTTTGACCTGTTGGCCTCAAGTGATCCTCCTGCCTCAGCTTCTCAAAGTGCTGGAATTACAGGCATGAGCCACAGTACTGTGTACAGCAACATAAGATTTTTAACACATCAAGGAATAAGTTTTAAACATTCTTGTTAAATGTAGGTATTATAAGTATTAGGTAACATTTGTTCATGAAGATAAATTTTATAAGCCTGATTTCTTGAAAGTCAGAGAGCTAGGAAAAAATAAAATACTAAGTACCTTTCCTTAAGGATTTATTGTTGGATTCTATTAAATTTTAGATAGAAAACAATTGACTCCTAGCTCTAATCAATTAGTGGTATTAGTAAACATAGGCAGACAATTTAGAAATTGTATGACCCTCAGTCCTGGATTATCCGTATTTCCTGGTCGATGTAAAGCATTTCTTTTGAATATTGTATGAACAGTTACTTTGAAGGTGAAGGAAAACGAATTGAATTGACTTTTTAATATATTTGGTCTTCCACTTATTTAATGTCATTTTCAGTAGGGTCTTTAGATACACTAAGAGTGAAAAAAAACTGTTTTCTTACTCCCCCGTCCCTGCCTCTCAAAGCCAGTTTGTAATGATGGCTATTGTTGTGTTTATGGATAGACAGATGAATTTACATTCTTGGGCATAATCTTTGTCATCCTTTGCAGCCTTTTCTGGTTGAGGTATGGTATTTTTCATTATTCTCGGCACATTGGCAAAATACCTTGTTCCTTAAAACTTTCTTTTATTGCATCTTCATGTTCATTCATGTACATCATAAGACTATATATGTATACCATAATAACTTTCTTTTTTATAGTCTGCAGAAATTCCAAGTCAGAACCATCTGTTGTGGTACTATCATCATCCATCTTCAGTGCAGACTTGATTGGCTCCTGTCTCCAATTGGTTGTTTGGTTGAACGTCTATGTATTTTAACCTCTCTAATATTTTCTGTCACTGTTTCTCTGGGCTATATTCTGGGTAATTTCTTTTTATCTATATTTCTAGTACTCTCTTCAGACATGTTTAATCTGCTCTTTAATTTATTCATTGAATTTGAAATTTTTTTTTCTTTTTTAAAATTTTATGTATATATACTCTGACTCGGAAAAAAAAATATATATATATATATATATTTTTTTTTGAGTCGAAGTTTCACTTTGTCACCCAAGCTGGAAGACAGTGGCACACTCACAGCCACAGCAGCCTCAACCTGCTGGGCTCAGTCAATGTTTCCTCCTCAGCCTTCCAAGTACCTGGAACTACAGGCGTGTGCTGCCACACTTGGCTAATTTTCCTTGATTTATTGTTGAGATGAGGTCTTGCCAAATTGCCCAGGCTGGTCTGGAACCCATGGGCTCAGGCAGCCCTCTCACCTCGGCCTCTCAAAGTGCTGGGATTATAGGTGTGAGGCACTGTACCCAGCTGAATTTGAAATTTCAATTGTTTTTTCATTTTCGGAAATCTATTTGGATCTTTTTAGAATCTGCTTGGTTATTTAGTTTCTTGTTCTTTGCTTAGGTTTTCAGATTTCACTTTACTTTCTTTGACATGTTAAACATTCTTATTTTTTTATACCATAGCTAACAATTCTAATATCTTAAGTTTTTCAATACTTGGGTCCCTTGGCTTTTGTTTCTGCTGTTTTTCATTTGTTCTGCCTAATTTTCTAGTGTGTTTTATCACTTTTGACTATGAGCCTCTCCTTTTTTGTTTTTTGTTTTTTGTTTTTTTGAGTCAGAGTCTCACCGTCACCCAGGCTGGAGTGCAGTGGCACGCACACGGCCACTGCAGCTTCAACCTGCAGGGCTTGGGCAATCCTTTCCCCTCAGCCTTCCAAGTAGCTGGACCCACAGGTGCTCGCCACCACACCTGGCTAATTTTTTGATTTGTTGTAGAGACAAGGTCTTGCCAAGTTGCCCAGGATGGTCTCGAACCCATGGGCTCAGACAATCAATCCTCTTGCCTCTGCCTCCCAAGTGCTGGGATTATAGTCGTGAGCCACCACACTCAGCTTCCTTTTTTTGTTTTGTTTTGTTTTTTCTTTAAATTTAGCAGCATTTATTTGAGCAAAGAAAAAAAACATGTTTCAGGCAGCCTCGGAACCAGAATACATTCAAACAACTCTAGCCTGCAGTGTGATCAGGCAGTATTTATGGACAGGAAATATGAGACACAAAAATAGCTTAATTGGTTAAAAGACAGGGGACTCCAGCTCAGGCTGCAATGGCTGCTGCAATGCTGGACTGAAAGTATCTCCTAGCACTGCAATTTATCAAGTGCTTTGGGACCATACTGGTGATCTTGAACTTCTTTTTCTTGGAACTTTATCAGCTGGAATTCTTTAAGACCTTGGTTGATATGGTAATCTTTCTGGGAGGCATTGTATTTGCATCTCCTGGTAACCTGGGGACATAGCCTGCATTTGCTTTAAAATAAATTCACCTCTTAAGGTTTTTCAGACCTCAGGGATAGTGTGAATTTAGATTGCAAACTTTAGTGTGGGGCTGATGAATTCTTGGGGTTAATTTCTTCTCTCTGAACAGCATCAAGTAGAGACAGACACATTTCCTTACTATTTCCTTCTGTTGTGGTTTCCATCTTGTACACTGTAAGGATGTAGCCTAAGGGATCCCTAGCTTTATATAGAGGTATCCTATTAGACTTTCATTTTGAGCAGGCCCCACACCTCACCATTCTATAAAGTTCTGCAACCTGTACCCTGCTCTGTAAAAACAGCATACCCTGTGTACGTTGCCAGCGTAGAAACTCAAGGTTTCAGGGGTTTGGAAAGAATTCTTTTGCATTTGTGGATTTGTACCAGTTTGGCAATAAGTTTTAAAAGTTCTTTAGTTTGTAATATTTTACCAAGCATCTTAGTAGTCTCAATTACAGGATCTCATTAGGAAATCTGATTTTTCATATATCACAATTGGATTTATAGCATTGCATGATTAACATAGTTATAATTACTGTGTGCATATTTAGTAGTTTTGTTAGTATTTTTAAGTATAAAGTTTCTTCTATTTATATTACCATGCTGCCCATTTGTGGTTATACAGTAGTTTACACAGTTATCATTGTATTTGCTTGTTTTTCAACTTCATGATTTAAATAGTGCTGCTAGGTAGCTATATCCATCAACTTAAAAGTTATATTTTTTTCCTCCCTTAGGTCGAATTGACATAAAACAGTTGATAGCAAAGAAGATACAATTGACAGCAGAAGCAGAGGCAAGTAACTCCTTCCAGAAACAAAAATGTAGAGTTTTAGATAGAGTTTTGTTCATTAGCATTTTTAATGCTAAGTTGCTTAGAGAATTGCTTAAGCAATTCCTCATTTGATGTTATCCTGTTGTGGAAGAGGTCTGCCACTGTGTTGTCTTGCATAAGAACTCAGATTGCCTTTTTATTTCCCATCCCATCTGTCATTGTCATTTTCTGGCTCTTAGCAGCAAATCTTGGTTTTAGGGAACCATGTTAATAGTTGATGTAGTAGAATGTCTGCATGAGTGCTTTATGGAAGTATCTGTCCTGGTTCATAATAAATCTAGGACTCCAATAAATGTTGACTCAATGTAGAAGTAGGTCCCTGTCAGGGAAGTAGAAATAACTCAGACAACAATGTATAGTCATTTCAAACGGGGACAGACAGTTCTACAAATCAGAATTCAGAATTGTCCTCAGGAAATTTTGGAGGGCAAAGAACACTTTTAAAAAAAATTGCAATACAATACTGTGTATGAGTTGAGCTGGAAAACTCCCGTTTTCCCAATGAGAAGATCACTTCCAAAATTTATTGACCAGCTTGAATTATAAACATCCAGTAATGTGGATGAAATAGCCCCATTTTGTTTCTTAACTTAGTTCCGTGTATATATATGGTGCACATATGCGTTTATAGGATAAATCTAGAAATATTTTATAATATTTCATAAAATGACATATGCCAGATTGTTTATATTCACTTTGATATCAGTGTCTTTGCTACTGTCAGAGCTAGTTTTTCAGTTGTCTTTCAAGGCCAGGGGCATATCATTTTTACTTTCATCTAATCTGTTGGAAATACAGTACTATTTGAAGCCAAGGTTGATGCTGTCATTAGAAAATTTACTATAAGAACTTATTTACTCAACATTACGGGATCCTCTTCATCATTCTGTAGGTATTGTGATGTCTACAGTGTAACCCCTACTATATTACTTTATAAAGTGGTATTCAAAAGGTATGTTCATAAAACTTGAAAGCTATGAGTTTAAACTGTTTAATGGGGTGCTAGATTTTATTTATCTCTTTTTCCTGATTTTGTTACCTGTGTAAGCCTCTAAAACTGCAGTGATTAAAGAAAGTATTTCTGGTGAATGTCTTTTCCAGTTAGTATTCTGTCGCTTCATTATAAGAAACCATTTAAAGGACTTATCAGGCAACTTCTGCTTATCTGAGTGCCAATTTATACTTTTGTCTTAGAAAATAAAAATATGTAATATATAGACACATGCTAATTCTAAGCTCTTATTCTTGCAAATTTAGTGACTGAAGTAAATAATTTCTGTTCTTATGGCTTAGTAGTGTGTTTCTGACCTGTCTTATGACTCTATATGGGCAGGACACCTGGGTTTGTCTTTTCATTCCTTTTCCAATTCCCCTTCTGTCTTCTTTTGCCTCTTTTTTTAAAAAAAGAACACAAAGTTCTTTTTGTGAGGGAAGTTTCAAATAGGTGAAACTTATCATTGTTCTGTATTTTAAAAATCTATGCTGGGTGTGGTGACTCCTGCCTGTAATCCCAGCACTTTGGGAGGCTGAGGCAGAAGGATCTCTTGAGCACAGGAGATAGAGGCTGTGGTGAACTATGATTGTGCCACTGTACTCCAGCCTATCCAGCCTGGGCATCAGAGTGAGACCCCAACTCAAAAAAAAAATGTAAAAATGAAACTCTAGAGTAGGAGTGGGCCTTTTTCCTATATAGAATCACAAACCCAAAGGGAAAGGGGAATGTGGAGTGTGAAGTAGAGGTTTTGGGGAGAAAGGAGTAGAAGAGGTGATGGGGGTTGGGGGGAATGGGGGAATGACTAGAGAATCTAAGTTAAAAATTTTTTAAAAGAATATTCTACTTATCTACTTTATAAATCAGTGAATAAAATTATCAAATTCTTTAGCTTGGTCAGTTAGGATTAGGAGAAAGAAATGAATGAAACAAAAGTCTTCTCTTAGTTCGGAGAGAGGTATACTATACATTGATTTAGCTAGTATTATTTCTTTTTTTTTTTGAGTTGGAGTCTCACTCTGTTGCCCAGACTGGAGTGCTGTGGCCGCTCCCGGCCACCGCATCCTCTACCTGCTGGGCTCCGGTGATCCTTCCACCTCAGCCTTCCGAGTAGCCAGAATTACAGGCATGCGCTACCACGCCCGGCTGATTTTTGATTTACTGTAGAGATGAGGTCTCGCTGCCCAGGCGAGTCTTGAACCCGCAGGCTCAGGCAATCCACTCACCTCAGCCTCCCAAAGGCGCGGGATTACAGGCTGAGCCACCAAACCTGGCTTAGTTTTATTTCTTACATAGATCATGCAAGTAGTGTGAGGGCTACAGAGTTGCACAAGACTTGTTCCCTGATGTTAGGGGAGGTTTTGGCCTGATCAAAGGTATGGAGGTAGAAAACTTACACGGTACATGGGGTATCTTAGAAGTGGTACTTTATGAGTGTTTGCACCCCTATTGGGGTACAATGGAAAGAAGAATACAGTTAGAAAATTGGGGCTGGAGTATAAAACATTTTTTTTCTATCTTTATGCCCTTGTCATATAGCTCTTTCTACCTGAACTTCCTCTAACTTCCTATTTTCACCAATCAAAATATTGTATATTCCTCAAATTCTTGCTCAAATCCTGTTGCTTCTAGTTTTCTGAACATTCCAGCCTGAAAGGATGTAGTCAGGCACGCCAGTAATCCCAGCACTTTGGGAGATGGAGGTGAGAGGATTGCCTCAGCCCATGGGTTGAGGACCAGCCTGGACAACTTGACGAGACCTCGTCTCTACAATAAGTCAAAAAATTAACCAGTCATGGTGGCGGACACGTGTGTTCCCAGCTACTTGGACAGCTGAGGTGAAAGGATCGTCTGATCCTAGCAGATTGAGGCTGCAATGGCTGTGAGTGTGTTTTTCATTTGAAAATGAATGTCACTCCAGCCTGGGTGACAGTGAGACTCTGACTCAAAAAGAAAAAAGGAAAAGAATCCTCTCTACTATACACTTAATATATACCTTCTAGTTATTGAACAGTGCTTTGTTCTGAATAAATCACCAATATCATTTTGTTTGACTTAGAAGAGTTTTAGTTGTCAATTATTTGATGTCATTCTAATGATTGAATATTTTACCATTGTTTTAATTGAAATGCTTTTGAGCAGGATATATTAGGACTGCTATTCTGACGTCAAATTTAGGATGACATATAATGGGAGTTTGGAGTGAATGAAACTAGATAGGAAGCTATTGTAATATTTTAGTATCTTACATTAAGTAAACAGATGAGCAAGTGGGAGAAAGGAACTATATTTAAAGGACCTATTATGGACCAAGCTTTATACTAGGTGCTTTATATGCACAATCTTATTTACTGAAATCATCTCATTTATAAGCGATCTCTAGCTGGTTACATTTTTTATTGTTGCTTTGCTTTGTTGGCTGACATTTACTAACATGAAATGACTTCAGATGACTGGTATGTGAACCTTGTTCAGAGCCATGAAATTTGTTTGTTCTTTGACATACTACTTCCTTTTTTCTTGTGAATTTTTTTTTTTGAGTTGGAGTTTCACTCCGTCGCCCAGATTGGAGTGCAGTGGCGGCTCCTGGCCACCGCGGCCTTGACCCACTGGGCTCTGGCGATCCTTTCGCCTCAGCTTTCCAAGTAGCCAGAATTACAGGTGCGCACGACCACGCCCGGCTGATTTTTGATTTATTGTAGAGATGAGGTCTCACTGCCCAGGCGGGTCTCGAACCCGTGGGCTCAGGCAATCCACTCACCTCAGCCTCCCAAAGGCGAGGGATTACAGGCTGAGCCACCGAGCCCAGCTTCTTGTGGATTTTTAAAAGTAATTTTTTAAACTGGAAGTCAGAAATCTTTCTGTTCATTTGTAATTTGGTGTCATGTTCCAACCTAGTTGTCACTTCATCTTCTCCTAATCTTTAAAGTGAGAACATTAGCTGTCTTCAGGGTCCCCTTTAACTTTTCTGGTTTATGTCAAAATTGTATAACTAACCAAAGCTTTTGCTCAGAATTCACCATTTCGTATAGTAAAGATAATAGATAGTCCATAAATCTTCCTGGGCAGAACTTTCAGCTCCACAGAAGTAGAGTTGTCAGTTAAAAAACAGTATGTTTAGTTGAATTTGAATTTTAGATGAACACTGGATACTTTTTTAGTCATCATGCAATATCTGAGATAGACTAAAAAAGTTGTTTATCTGAAATTTAAATTACCCAGGTGTCCTTTTTTTTTTTTATTTGCAACCCAAAGAACTCCACAACAAGTTAGAATATAGACAGATGAGCTCATATTAATGAAAGGTGTGAAGAAAATTATCAAGAACTGAGCAGGCTCTTTAGTCTAAAGAATTGAGGATTGAGAGAGGTAATGATATTAGTGGGTTGAAATCAGTGGTTTAAACTGACAAAATCTCTTAAGGTAAGTTCCAAGTCTAACATGCTTGTTATAACAAAGTTTTACGTACGTGCTTCCTATCTAGTGCTTGTGTGAGGTCATACAAGATTGTGTAACCCTGAGTCTTGCCCTTTTGAAATCTTTAGAATTGTGTTGTAACAGGACTTAAAAGATCTTGGAACAGACCAGGGGAAATTCAAATGATTTAAGTCCCAACCAACTTACAGTAGTAGATAAATTAGCTTTGTTTTAACATTGTGTTAAACTATTTCTTTTGGTTGCAAATAAGAAAAGCCTACTTTGGCTTATTTAAGCATAAAGAATGTGTTAGAAATAGCATCTCATAGAATCCTAGGAGAAGTCAAACATTTATGCTTTGGAAAGAATAAAGATTTTAGTAGGAAGAGTTTCAGTACTTCTGAATATTTCAGTTAATAAAGTTTCCACTCACTCTCTTTCAAAGGTCAGAACTTTAGATTTATAGGAGAGAGAATTGTATTTTGAACAGAGGGTCAAGGCCATCTAGATGCCTGTCCTTGCCTTTGAGGACAGTTTCCAGAGAAAAGTGAAT